GTGGATGAGGGAAGGAAAAAAAACAATCGGATGAAGAATTTTTTAACCTGGGGAATAGGTTGGCAAAGGAAATAAAAAAGCAAGCTGTGACTGCTAGGTGTCCTTGATAGTTATGTCAGTAAACGTCTGTGGATTCTGTGAGATGATGCTAGATGGAACTTGCGTGTTCAGGGATGGTCTACCAGAGGCTGGTGCAAATGAGGCAAAATCTCACCTTGGTGTTGTGAGCTCCTCGGAAAGGCGCGGTTGGAAAAGTTAATTTAAAAAGCAGGTGGAAGTAATTTTTCCAAGCAGTGTCCTGTGTTAGCACAGTGGTGATCTCGGAAACCAGAAAATAAGAACTCAACTCATGCTGTCTTTCAAATTTGGCCAGACATCCTCACCTGGAGCCCTTCTGGCCGAAGATACCTGGGGTAGCCCAGGGGAGCACCCCCTTTGGCGTGGTTGCATCATAGCACTGACCATTGGTATGGGGCACCAGATTGAGCTTGCGGGTGCCTAGGTACCCACCTTGGCTAGTGTTGCCGTTGGGGAACATGCCTGCTGTCAATGGAACTACCTTGTGCCTGTTGTTTCAGAGGCTCCAGCAAAGCAGGACCCGGCGGGTGGGTTGGGGGTTCCAGGAGCCGTCTTTGCTGGTGGTGGTTCTGATGCCTGATCTTGGTGGACCTTGACCTCGTCTCCTTTTCCTCCTCCTTTGGGATGCTGAGGCTTGGCGAGACAGACATCCCATAAATTCCATTCTGTAATAGGCCATCTGTTAAGTCACCGGGAGCTTTGACTCTGAGTGGGCCTTGGGCGAGGACAGGCAGGCTTTTGAGCAGAGGAGTTCCTCTGGCAATGTGTTGTTGTTTTTTCCCCCAACCGAAACTGTGAAGGATCTTCGGAGTGGAGAAGAGTTGAAGGAAGTGAGTACATGTTTACCCTGGGGAAGAGAAGAGTGAGAGGCGATTAGCTGGCCCTCTTCAGATACCACCTGCTCCAGAAGGTAAGGTCCAGACTCATGGGGTCCGGTCCCTAGAAGAGAGCGTGAGATGAGAAAGGTACTGCTGATGGCAAGAACTGTTGGATAGTGGAAATCAGCTCCCCGGCCCTGCAATCCTTGGTGATGGGCTCCCCAGTTCTTCCCGTAGAATCCCCATTTACTTTTTCCCGCCTTTGATTTCGCACCGCTGACTCCTGCTTGTTTCTGTCCTTACTCTTTTGGAATCGATGGAGGCCCCTTTGGGCGGGTGGGGGGCCTGCTTTGGGCCGTTCTGGGAAACCCCGGCCCTGGTCTGTGTGTCACTTGTCTCCATATGACTCAGAGAAGACGTTGTGTCTAGCCACGAGGGTGCCTGGGCCGAGGAGACTTCAGCCTCCTGGCTTCTCTGCCCCGGATAACGCCAGGCCATGGGGCCCCGTGACTCACGCAGGGTGACAGATGGATGGATGCAAAATATGAGGAATGCAGGCATGGAGCCCTTTCTGTGGAGGCCCTGCTGCTCGGATTGCCACACGGGGGTTCCCCTGGATTTGCAAGCCCCCCCCCTTCTGATCCTATAGTGGAGGGGGGGTTGGGCTCCTCGGGCAAGCCACCCTTTGCTGGTTTGTGATGATGACACTCATCCCCTTTGGTTGTGCCCGGTGTCTGGGGCTCCAGCTTTCCCTGACCTGGTGACTCTTTTGAAGCTGTGTTGGAACAGAGTGCCTATCATCCCCAATCGGCAAGATCACTGGCACCAGGCTGCGGAAGATGGAGGTGTATCCTCCAAAACTTTGCAATTATCCTTTTTGGGAGGAGGGGGGGGTGGTAGTTCCAGAACCACCTGCCCAGAAAGAGGAGTCACCCTGGTGGCTCATGGTCTTGAGAGCTGCATGCTGTCCTGCGGGGGGGGGGATTCCATCCCTGAGGTTTTTAGGCTGCAGGGCTGAGCTGACCGGGCTAAAACAGGGGGTGGGCAGGGAAGAACGTGGGCTTTCCGAAAGACACGGAGAGATCCGCAGTACAACCACCCCTGCGAGCCAGGTGCTGGGCGTGCCTGCATCCTCTCAGCCTCCCTCCCTCCCTCCTGCTCTCAAAATGACAAAGCATCTCAGAAGACCTGACGAAAGGAAGCCAGCTATTTATACCTGGGGTGCCGGAGACGTGTGGATTTGAGCTTTCAGGAACACTCCCAGGCCATTTGTGTGGACCTCTCCTCTCCGTGGTGGCCAGTTGCATTAAGGGGGCCTCTTCTCAAGCCCGGGGATTTTCTGGTGGCCTCAGAGTAAAAGCCCCATGATCCCTGGCCAGCTGTGCCCTTAGAGTGATGCCGGATCAAAATGGTTGGGGTCATCCTTTTGGCCCTGACCCTCAGACGCTGCCTTCCCCCCACCCTTGAAGGTTTTGGGCCTGAATTCCGCTCCTGCTGGCGATTGACTGGATTTGTGCCATTCCTTGAGCCTTCTCGCTTCGATTCTGTTTTGATTCATTTCTGTTGTTTTCTTGTGTAAAGTGCGTGAATGTTCTCCCTTATTTTTGTCCAGGGTTGTGAGGGCATTGCCAGTTGGAGTGGTATGCAGACATTTAAATTAAGTAATAAATAAAAAGGATCTGCCTGCCACTGGCGTTGGGAGAATGTGTTTTGCTGCCTGCGTATGTGGAGGAAGTGCATAAAAGGCAGTTACTGTTGGCATGCAAGGACATCCTTCTTCACTATCTCTTTGGACTTCTTGTGGGTGATGAGAGACTTCTAGGAACCCAGAAAAAGTCTGAGCTTCAGAACCACCCCTCATTTTGGCTGGTTTTGGTGTGCTCAGCATTGTCAGCACAAAATATGTCCCAGGATCCTCCAGAAGGTTTGAAGGTTTTAAAAAATGCATGCCATCTTTATGGAACTGGCCCAGCGAGGGTGCTTTGGCCCATATGCTGATGCAGGGTTATGGGACCCGGGTGTGTGTGTGGCACAACGCATGCTGTGCCATTGTGCATTTTAGGTCATTTGTAGTAAAACTTGGAACAAATTCAGAATCTCATCTTTTTTCTTCAACTTACTCTCTCTTTAGAAAATCAAACTTCTAGTCCTTAAGGTGGCAGTGGGTGAGGGGCAAGGTCAGGATTGTGTGGATAAATGCCTGGTGAGGGCTAGAGCTTGTCAAAGTTAGCATTCGGGCCCACCCGTTCAGAGTCAGATCATGGAGGAAACCCAGCTAGTTCAGCTTAAAAACCTTAAGGAATATACAGTAATTAGTTTACCAATTCACTGCTTAAATGCTTTTAGTTTGGTGAAAGTTTTCATTTTGGATTACAACTCCCAGAATCCCTGGTGGGGAGATTCTGGGATTTGTAGTCCAAAATGAAAACCTTTATGTGTGCTCAGCATTTTTTGTAACAGCTGCAACTCAAAATTCGGGTGCTTTGTTTACCTCCTGCTGATAAAAAGTGACGGAGGTTTTGTCCAGTCACACCATGTGGGCTCGAACTCGCCTCCCGATGAAACTTTTTTCCCTTTCACTCCGGATGCTGCTGCTGCAGATGGCTCTTCCCTTCTGAGAAGTTGTTCTGTTTTTGTTTTTTTAAAATTGAGTTCCGGGAGAAACATATCTGTTGGGTCCTTATCTTGTCCGGAGTTTTATCTCTTCTAAGTGAAGGCTTGTTCAAAAGCAGCGCTTGAAACTTGGCAGCCGGATCTAGGATGTCAGAACACAAGAGATGCTCAGCTCCCTCTCCGTGTGTTGCATTTCTTTTTCCAGCTCCTCTTCTTGGAGAAAAGGCTTAGGAAATTAAAAAGAAAATCAGAATAATCCGCTGCCCCTCCCTCCCTCCTTTCCTTCTTCCTTCTTTTCCATCTTCAACACCTTCCATCTATCCATCCCCATACTCCTCCTTTCCTCCCTTGGAAGCTCTTTAGCAACAGGCCTCCAAACCTCCCTTTCTCTGACTCGTCCCGTCCCTCGCCTGCAAGAGAAGTGAGGTCTCTCCATCTCTTCTTTTCTCTCGCTTTGTGTGTGTGTGTCACACTTCCCAGAGTTCCAGACCAGCGGCTTTCCGGGGGCTTTGAGGTGCCGGCCTGTCACTCTGTGGGGCATCACACCGACAACATTGCTGCCCCACAGCACAGCTCGGGGGGGGGGGCTAAATTCTGTTCTTGGTGCCCAACCCTTTGGCAGGCAGCATTTTCTGGTGGGCAGAAACGGCACGCCGGCTTCCTTGGTGCTACGGATTCACTCCCGGCAGAATTGCTCGAGAGCTCCTTCCCCCAGAAAGCCGGGAGGTGAAAACTCATTCCCTGAAGAGCATCCTGCCCTGAAGAGAAAGCGGGGGCCCTGTGTCCCCCCCATCTCCCGGCGCAGGCCTGCCTGGGCCTCGGGGAGCCCCTGGTCGCCCCAGCAGAGCCTTGGGCCACCTGCAAAGCCATCGGCTAGTAGGAAACGGTCCTGGGTTGCAGCCCTGGACATCCCCTGGCTTCCCCCGTCTGGGCTTTTGAGCGGCGCTCCGAAGGCCTGCTTTATGGCTCTCCTGCTTTCCCCTTTCTGGGCAAACGGGCCTTGCAATGCCGCAGACATAGTTTTTCGGGGCGTGTGCGAGCGAGGGTGGCTTCTCTGAGGCTTTGTTTTGGCTCCGACTCGGCTTTCCCGGCCTGCCCACGAGCCGCGTCTGACTTCGTGATGTTGCCTTTATGTTGGATTTTGGAAGCAATGTGGACCTGGAACATGAGCCGGGCAGGAAAATGTCAGACTTTTTGAGAGGCTCCCTCTGCACAGCAGCGGCCTGTAGGCCCCTGGGACAGGGGAGGGTGTGGAGCCTCCGGACGGGGTGCTGAGCCTGGCCCTCTTGGGGCTCAGGAGAGGGACTCCCACCTGCCACCAAGCCTTTTCAAGTTGTGTGGTGTGAGCGTGGATCCCTTTGCCATGTGCTCACTGGCTACACACACACACACACACACACACACACACACAGAGAGACCCCAAAGTCCTGGTTGTTTAGGAAACCTGGCTCGAGGCCTGAGCGGAGCGTCTCCCTCTTCTCTCCCTTTCAGACTGACGCAGCGCATGCCTGCCTTGGTGCCCAGCCCGTCCCGAGCCTCCTGTGAGGAATTCAGGATCACATGACCCTGGATATGGACGTGGTCCTCTCCGATTTTGTCCGCTCAACTGGGGCAGAGCCGGGGCTCGCCAGAGATTTGCTAGAAGGTAAAGTGTCCGCCCTGGATGGAGAGAGGCTTCGCCACCCTGTCCTGGGGACGGTCGTCCAAATCTGTCGGGGAGGCGAAGACCAGGAAAAAACCCAGCTGGTGGGAGAGCCACCTGGGTGGGAGGTGGTTCTCCACCCCCACCCCCCGGCCGTGACCCCTTTCCTGTTTCCCTCCCCCAGGGAAGAATTGGGACCTGAGCGCCGCCTTGAGTGATTTTGAGCAGCTTCGGCAGGTTCACGCTGGGACGCTGCCCCGTTCCTTCAACGAAGGGCGTGCCTTTAAGCTCGCCGAGAAGGAGGTTCCGCGCCCCCCGCGGCCCCTCCTGCAGCGCCAGGATGACATCGTCCAGGGTAAGTGGGCCCTCAACACGGAGCCCTGAGAACCCCAGGGGGGGGGCAGAGACGGGCCAGGGCCAAGCGACAGCCGGTCGTTGGAAAGGAGAAGCCCTCGAGGGCTGACGGTGGGCGACAGTCGCCGCTGGAGGTTCTCTTGCCCTCTGGAATTTGCAGACCTGGGTGTTGTGGCTGGTCCTCCTCGGGAGGTAAGTGGGAGGCTTCTCTGCCGGTGTGAACGCAAACAGGATTTTAGTTTCTAAGGACCTCTGGACTCACAGGCTGCCCTTCGTGGCTTGGTGGCCCTGCACGCAGGTGGGTTGTGTGGCCCCCTTGCAGGCGTTGCCTGAGCCCAAAATCACTGGGGCAGCGCTAAGAGGAAAGGGCGACCTGATCCTGGCAATGCAGACGTTTTCTCCAGGCTAGGGGTTTCTGGGGGGACGGGGCGTCCCTCGCAGCTCCCAACCTCTGCCTGTCCCTCTCTCCCCTTGCAGAAAAGCGCTTATCCCGCGGCATTTCCCATGCCAGCTCCACCATCGTCTCGCTGGCTCGCTCCCACGTCTCCAGCAACGGCAGTGGCGGTGGCAGTGGCGGCAGCGGCAGTAGTGGCGGCGAACACCTCCTGGAGATGCCCATCTTCACTTTCCAGCTGCCCGACCTGACCGTCTACCGTGAGGAGTTCCGCAGCTTCATCGAACGGGACCTCATCGAGCAGTCGATGCTGGTGGCGCTGGAGCAGGCTGGTAAGGGGCAGCGACCGGGGGGGGGAACTGTCGTCCTCTCTGGGGGCAGCTCGCTCATCCAGGTTGCCCCTCTTGCCCCCCCCTCCCCGGGACCTTGGAGGCGTGAGAGGTGTGACGCTCCCACGTGGACATTAGAGCATTAAAAGGTCCATCAGGCTTTCACACACCCCCGGGGGGGCACTTTCGTTCTGTGGCTCAATTCCTCTTAAAGGAATGGTCAGCCAAAATCCTGTTAGTTATGCGCCCCCCCCCCACAACAGAGCCCAAGGAGAACAGCTTTTGGAGTTGGGTTGCCCCAAGGGACGGAATGGTGGGCAAAGAGGAGTCGTGGGACGCTGCCTGTTGCCCACGGAGGGTCTCAAGCGGAGGCCGTTCACCTCCAGAAGTTACCACACTGCTTGCCTTGAAACGGGTGTAAAATCCAAACAGAATTTTAGTCCTTGTCTTGTTCGCCTCCAGAACACCACGTAGAATGGCTTTAAAGGAGGCAGTGTGTTGTGAAGCCTGATTAGATGGCCTGATTTGGCATTTTAACAATTAAAATAGCTCCTCTTAGACTTGGGGCCGACAGGTTTGATGATGAAGGGATGTAGGTGAATTTTTCAAATTTCTTTCCACACTCTGGAGATAACTGTGTGCCAGCCTGTCCCCGGCTGCCCCCCCCGCCCCCCGGCCATGAAATCCGAAGAGGCCAGGCGAAGGGAAGGTCATCAGCAAGGCCTTGGCTGGCCTAAGAACAGGTTTGGGCAAAAGCCCTTTGCCCGTCTGCCCTGAGCCTTTGGGGAGGTTCAGCCCGTAAAGAATCTCTCGGTGGGGCGTGTTTGCCCTCTGACATCACCCGATGTGGCTGAGAAAGGCCATGAGCTCAGCCCGGGCGTGGGGCAGAGCGAGTGGAGGTGAGGAAAGGCAGGCAGTGACATCTCCCCAAGCAGGGGGAGTGTCCCCTTGATGCTTTCCGCGTGGGCTGGAGGTGGGTTTGGCCTCTGCCGGTCTTTGGCAGGTGGCCATGCAGCGGTGGAGCCCTGCCAGGGGTGACCTAGGTCGGGAAAGGCCCTGTGTTGTTGAAGCGTCTGTTCAGAGCAGGCTGGCTGCCTGTCCGGATGGGGTCCTCCTGTCAGGGAGGGAGGCGCCTGCCTCCTGAGGGAAGGAGGACCAGGGACAGGTTCCAGCCTCCTCCTCCTCCTCCTCCTCCGGATGGCTGTGAAAGAAGAACGAGGCCAGCCCTGCAAATGCCCCTCAGATCTCCTTGCAGGAAGCGCCGGATGAGAGGGGCATTAATAACGATGACCTCTCAGGAGCCCCAGCTCCGACTCTGGCAGCGTTGCGTTACCTCTGGAGAAAGGTGATCCTGGCGCTTTTGGTTAGGGACACTCGTCCCCTCTGCTCCGCCCCTTGGACGGGGATCAAAGGTTGGGGATTCTGGGAGTTGTAGTCCAAGGGAGTGACTGTTTTCCACGCTGAGTTGGAAGCGCCTACCCTCCACAGAGCCCTGTCAGGGAGTCCCTGATCGCTGCAGCCCACCCAGAGTGTGGGGCCTCTTTGCCTCCTCTCCCAGCGGGTCAGTCCTGCTCTGTGTGAGGTCAGGGGTTTTCTCCAGTGGAGCTTGATTGGGAGCCGCGACTCCGGCGGAGGGGCAGCAGGCAGGCTCCTCCGTGACAGCCGCGGACACTCCGAAGACTCTGAAAGCCAAGCGGGGAGGAGGATTCACCCCCGTCTCTCTGTCCTGTGTTTGGTCTCGCCCAGGGCGCCTCAACTGGTGGGCCAACGTGGATCCCAGCTGCCAGCGGCTGCTCCCCTTGGCCACGACGGGCGACGGCAATTGCTTGCTTCATGCGGCTTCATTAGGTAAGAGCCGCCGTTTGGTGGAAGGCGGGATGCAGGAGTCAGTTCTGAGAGGGTGAGGGGAGCACTGAGAACTGGTCTTTTTATTCTCCCCCCCCCCGGCAACCCCTGGCCCTCTTCAGGTGGCCCCTTGTTGCCAAACACACCTTGGCTCAGGTCGGGAGCTGGCCGCCTGCCTGATCAGCCCAGGCCAGGGGGGGGTTGTCATTCATCTCCCCCCCCCCGTCCCCCGCTGTCCTCATTCTCCGTGCGTGCTTAATTGTGTGGCATCTCAGTGGCTGTACCATTTGCGTTTCAATTAGTGTCCAGATTTAATACCTTGGCCCACCTTTCCTAGTGAGAAGGATGGGCCATTTATGTTGTTGGTGGAAGATGTGTTTTTTAAAAATGGTTTTTGGAAGAGAGTAGAACAAGTGCCTGGAAGCTTCCACCTCTTCCTTTTGTCTCTCCTCATTGGCGGTAGGGATGTGGGGCTTCCACGACCGGGACCTGATGCTGCGCAAAGCTCTTCACGCGCTCATGGACGAAGGGGCAGAGAGGGAGGCCCTGCAGCGGCGCTGGCGGTGGCAGCAGGCCCAGCAGAACAAAGAGGTGAGGCTCTGGGAGGACGCAGAGGAGGGGGGGCAGATTCACCTTGCCTCCACGCAGAGGCTCCGGAGGGGGGCTCAGGCTCCTCAACATGGAGAAATTTGAGGTCAACCACATTTTTCCGTGTATAATACGCCCCCACGTATAAGAGAACCCCCCCCCCACCTTTCTAACCCAGAATTTCTTTCTTCATAAGAAAGTGGAGGGGGAAGGCAGGAATCATCAAAGCAATTCATCAAAGTGATTCCTGCTTTCCCCTTCCACTTTCTTTGGAAGAAAGTTGAGGGGAAAGCACTTTCCTCGTAAGAAAGTGCTTTCTTCATAAGAGAGTGGAGGGGGAAAGCAGGGATCAAAGCGGTTTGATCCCTCCCCCCTCCTTACTTCCATGTATAAGATGGCCCTAAATTTTTAATTTAAATATTTTAGAGAAAATTATCGTCTTATACACGGAAAAATATGGTACATTCTCCTGTCTGGGGTGTTGGGTTACTTTGGGTCAGAGCATGGGGAGCTGATGCCTGTCGACTACACTTCCCAGAATCCCCTTTTGAACATTGGAAAAGTGGTTTTGTGGAGCAAGGTGGAAGTCTAAATGGTTTCTCTCCCTCCCTCTTCTTCCCCCTTCTCTTCCTCTTCTTCCCCGTCTTAGTCCGGTCTCGTTTACACGGAAGAGGAATGGCAGAAGGAGTGGAACGAACTGATCAAGCTGGCTTCCAGCGAGCCTCGGATGCATTACGGCACCAACGGCGGGAACTGCGGAGGGTAAGGGAGGCCTTTGCCCTCATGCCCGGTCACGGCCATGTGCTCTGCCTGGGTCCTTCCAAGGCTGGGCTGCTGTTGGTGCGGATCCCTGGGGCGCTTCTGCTCCAGACATCCAGTATCCCTGAACAGCTGATGCATCGGGATCTTCCCTGTTTGGAACTGATCTCCCTGTCACTGTTTTTCATTGATAACCAAGCCCTGAAAGGGCAGGAGGATGGGACCAGAGGCAGTCAAAAGCTTACCCCTCCTTTTGCTCTCCTGCAGCATTGAGGGCTCGGAGGAGCCCGTCTATGAGAGCCTGGAGGAGTTCCATGTTTTCGTGCTGGCCCATGTGCTCAAGAGGCCCATCGTGGTGGTTGCCGACACCATGCTGCGGGATTCTGGAGGGGAAGGTGAGTTTGAGGAGGTGGACTCATGAGCTCCCTTCGGTGACTACATGGCAGCCCTTTCTATGCTGAAGAGGGCTCTCCCGTTGCCTCTTGGTCATCTCATCATAAAGATGGATAGTGCTGGAGGATGAGACTCGCAGGGGAGGGACTCTCGGATCTCTGAAGGAAGGTGCAGCCTCCTGGGATTCGCCAGGGCTTGGTTGGGGGTGGGCTGCTGTGGCCATCCACGTGTTTGGAGCCCATGGCTCTCAGCTACCCTTGGTGGCAAAGGCTGAGGACAGGCACTGAATTTGGGGAAGTGACTTTTCTGAATTAAATTCCAGGACTCCCTCCTGCTCAGAAGGCTGAAACAAGCTGCACGTGATGCAGTGTAAAAGGAGGAGTCACATGCAGAGGGCAACGGGCACACTCGGTGTTTGCAGGAGTCTCTCTGCGCTGGGAAGGGTGGGGTCAGTCCAGTGGTGCCCAGTGAGGGAAGGGTGACAGGGGAGGCCGATTCAGGAGGAAGCAAAGACACCGGGCTGCTGGGACCCCTGAAGCAAGCTGGGCCACGAAACCCACCCGGTGCATCTCTGCGTAAGCCTTGGCAGATGCTTGCCCAGATCCGCACCAGGCCCAGCTCGCTCCAGGGGTCGGTGGAACAAAGATGATCCCCCTAGTGCTACGTCCGCCTGAGCACCTGGCTGCCACCTCTTTGGGTGCTCAGCTCTGCGCCGTGCTTCTCTCCCTTCCAGCATTTGCCCCCATCCCCTTTGGGGGCATCTACCTGCCCCTGGAGGTGCCCGCCAGCAAGTGCCACCGCTCCCCACTGGTCCTCGCCTACGACCAGGCCCACTTCTCCGCTCTGGTTTCCATGGAGCAGAAGGAGCCCTCCAAGGAGCAAGGTGGGTGCGGCCCTTGGGCGGGTGGGGGCTTTCTGTGTGGGGGAGGGTGTCCCTGGGGTGGCCCTTGTTCCTCTCTCTCCTCTGGTCCCGCCTTGCAGCCCCTGTGCAGGAAGTTGGGCGAAAGAGGGGACCTTCCTACGACCAGGCCCACTTCTCCGCTCTGGTTTCCATGGAGCAGAAGGAGCCCTCCAAGGAGCAAGGTGGGTGCGGCCCTTGGGCGGGTGGGGGCTTTCTGTGTGGGGGAGGGTGTCCCTGGGGTGGCCCTTGTTCCTCTCTCTCCTCTGGTCCCGCCTTGCAGCCCCTGTGCAGGAAGTTGGGCGAAAGAGGGGACCTTCCACACCCTGCCTGAGGCTC